AACCCTCGCCCACACCAACTTTGAATTGCATTCCTCCTTCTTCTGGTTAAGCCGGTTAAGCGTTTAATTAGCCGCTAGCCTTGTCAAGTTAGAGGTTTGAGTGTTCATGGGGAGCTTGCCATAACCATTGTGCAAGTTCAAACCCTAAACCCTAAACCCTAAACGTTGAGACCTTTATGGCGAAAAAATGGGCAGCATTTTGTTTTTTTTTGTATTTTTTTAAACAAGAGCGCTGGAAACCACCCAAAGTTTACATTTTCAAAAAATGCGAAAAAAATACGATTTGACATTTACATTTTTTTTGTAAATTGAAAAAATGCGAAAAAAATACGAAAAAAATACGAGAAAACAAAAAAATGCGAAAAAAATGCGAAAAAAATGCGAAATACAAAAAAAACGAAAAAAATGCGAAATGCACAAAAAATATACGAAAAAAATACGAAAAAAAAACAAAAAAAAAAGAAAAAAAACAAAAAAAAAAAGAAAAAAAAAAAAAAAACAAAAAAAATACGACCTTAATTTTTATTTTTTTTCATATATTTAAAAATTACGAAAAAAATGCGAAATCAATATTACATTTTTTTCATATTTCTAAAAAAATGCACAGCAAATTTGATTCAAATTTCATGTGTTTTCATATGTTTGTCGCGGGCTCTGTCGACCTAAGCGCTCAATACTCATTGTAGGCTCTTAATTTATGTTGATTTTTCTATTATTTTAATTTGACACGAGCAAGTTTGGTTGTTGCTTTGTGGTGTATTTGGACAGGTTTTCGTCGATGTTTTTGTACAATTTTGCAGATCATGAGTAGGGCCAGGAGGGCTTCCAACTGGCACTGGCCACTATATTCGCTAGGGCACAAATTGTTGCACGTTTTTGCATTTCTTTTTGTTGAAAAGTCCAGAAATGCACGCCTCACGCTTGCCCTTTGCGGGCGCCAAGAGGAATGCTTGAACGCCCAAGTCTTCAGTCAAGCCCCCGCTAAGGCTCCCGACAATTTCATTTTTCTAGGGTTCTAGGTTCTACGTAAGACATAAGAGGTACGACGTACTTGAATGGGGGAACCCGAAATCATGGATCGCAAAGCTTCAGAAGCTGTGAACCCGTTTCATCGAATCCATCAATTTTCAATAGTCAATAGCCAAATGGCCCAACGCTGCCCAATGGTCTGCCAAGGCCAACCGCAACTATGGTGCCAAGGACCCTGGGGAGAGGTTCCTGACTTGGAAAAAGGAGTCTTTGACCTTTAGGGACAAGGTTGGTGTCTCTCCAACTTTCAGTCCTTGGACATCGCGACCTGGGTTTGAGGGACGGGGACTCAGTCGCAGCGCCCGTGTCTTGGACCTGGTGAACTGCATTGCCATTCAGAAGCTGGTAACTTCAAACACTACTGCTGAGAACTTGGAATCTGAGCTGAAGCACACCATGCTGGATTACAGCCAGTCCCACGCTCGCAGGTCTGCCACCCATGCTGACAAGCACCGGTGCCTCACCACCAGCACCACCCTTTATAGCTATGGGCTGGATCGTGTGGTTCTCCCACTTGAGACATTGTGGTGGCAAGGCTTTCCTCGAAGCTTGAAGGTCCCACAGCAGGTCTCATCCAGCGACATCAAGGAGTTCGCCGGGGAGGGAATGACGCTTCCTTGCTTGGCTACTATCCTCCTCTCTCTGATCTGGAACGTTGACTATGGGCAAGGCAAGTAATGAGGCAGGCTCTTCTTTGGAGTGAGAGCAGTCAGACTTTTTTTGTAGCAGCGAGCGGCGGGCTCCGAAGCATGGATGAATGATTAGGTAGTGACTAGGAACTAGTAACTAATGACCAGTGGCTTCAAGGATGCCCCATGTTGGGCCCTGCTATGTCACTGTTATGACAGCGGTGCAAGTTCCTGGTTAGTTTCTCATTCCATGAAGTTGCCCACAATCAGCGGGGATTGATTCAGAGCATCTCATAGCAAGCCTTTGGGCCGGTGAAGCACCTAACAGCAGTAGTCTTAGTAGTAGCAAGTAACATGATTGCTTTGGCACGAGTCCCTAGGTGTGAGATGCAGAATCGTGGGTTGAGTGCCATATGGCCACCAATTCATCGTAGAAGTGTCAACTCTCAACGTCCTGGGTGCGGTTCATAGTGCATAATTTACGCAAATGCGTATGTATTTGTACATTCATGGGAAACGAAAACTGAAACCAAACCGAGACCACTTACTATTGTTTCGATTCTGACAGGCCTTTTTGTTTTGGATATTTGTGGCATTCTTTTGAGCGCGCATCACTGGCAAGTGTTGCTTTGGCTGTCCAGGGAGTGCAGAGTTGCAGATATAGCGCTGCAAGCAGGAAGACCTTGCAGATTTTGCGAGAATGCGTTTCTTTGACGCAGCTAGCAGGTACCAGGTACCGTTTCGAGGCTTCCAAGGGGTTCCCATGTCGTGTCCACTTTACGCTGTTGGTATTTGGATGAGCAGCTTATGTATAGTTCACGGACTTGTTGCTGTTGCTGTTGAATCGCCTTGAACTTAAATTGACCTAGAGTTGGAAGCAGTTACAGCATAGAGCCCATGGCGCAAGTATCCATGGCCCAGTCTCCACCACACTGACCATGGCTACTCGCTTTTGCCAATCACTAGCTTGCATTTGTGTAAGTGTAAACAGAATGGCTATCAGCTTGGCGGCTAGACTTGCGAGACGGTTTTTGTCAGACTTGCAAGTAGCAGGTTGTGCACTGTGCATTTCAATTGGCTGTGGAAGATGTCTAAAACTAGAGTCAACTAGAGCCGATATCAAGTAGCAAAGTTGCGTTCTTCAATCATTGCATCTTTGTTGCTTGTTAGCGCTTCAGCCATACCTGTGTCAGTTTTGCTTTGCCTTCCAGTCCTGGTCCAAGACAGAGTCCCGCCTCCTTCCTTTTCGTGATTCTTAGCCATAGCTGCAGCTTTTCCAGTATGGCATCGGCTGACCAAGTGAAGACTGGAGTGAAGCGAGCAGCGGCCTCGATGAATGTCTTGGAGTCCTACCACGACGGTGTGTCTTTTGTAGCCTCTGCCATTGAGGCAGAGTGGAAGCGTCAGAAGGCATTGTTCGAAAGCAACGGCTCCGTTTCTCCTGGAGGTGTCGCTACCAGGGCGCTGGCCACGCGAGGCCCAGCGGGCTACACATCAGACCTCAAGAGCTTGCTCCTCACCCAAATGGTTCACCGTAACAAGATGTTGCTCGAGAGCAACGGGGAATTGGTAGAGCAGCTTCATGCGTTGACCAAGGAGCATATGGCCCTCCAGTTCGAGTATGACAAGGTTTTGGACAATGCCCACGCCCGGTTGGACGCTTTAGAGGTCTCGGGAGTCATCCAGCTGGCTCAAGAGCAGGTAGACAAGGAGTGGGAGGTTCTCAGGCCAGATGACTGGGACGAGAAGCACCCAGACACGCTGCCCGAACGTCCTGTGAGTGCTGGTAATGGTAATCGCAACCAGGATGAAAGCGCAATGCGCAATTCGAACTCTGTCGATGCTTCCGGTCCTCGTTCAGGTGCATCTGACACCGTTGGCAGGGACAAGGATGCAGCCACGACTTCTTTAGAACGCTAAACTCAACTAGCAGTTTGGCTTGGGGATAGGATCAGGCCCTGGCGCAGGCCTATGGATTTAAAGATTGAAGACTCACAGCGCTAGTGAAATCTGTAGAATGTAGAATAGTGCAACAACTTTCCAACTTCATGCCTCCCCTTTGTTCTATTCTGATTTTGGCAAAGCTGTGAGATTATATATACGATGGCAGCTGCCACCGTTAAGGCCTTTTACCAGGAGCCAGACTATGGATGACTTTGCAGGGAGAAGCAAAAAATAGGCTTGGCGGCTGTTGAATTGGATGCGGTAAGAGAATTCCGCCATGCTGCAGAAATTGTTTTTTTTGTCGAGCTTCACAAGAAGAGTTCACCCACCACTGGGGCAAGTCTCGCCTCGCACCTGTGATACTGCGGATTGTAGATAGGTCCTGTATGAGCAGCTACAGTGTACTCTAATCATGATTTTACATAGACATGAGCATTCAGTTTTGGCAAAGCGTATCAGACGAGCGCAATTCCAGTTGTTTTAGTTACTGGGTTTCATCCATTGAAAACGGACTGCGGCTCAGAGCAAAGCAGAGCAGTTGGCCGCCCTGGTCACAGTTGTTCATTTGCCGCCCCGTTCTCGTGGCGAACCTACGACGACCTACGATGCAGAAAGATGCTGGGAGAAAGGCCTTCCGGGTTTCTTTTTTGGACTACTCTAGTCTGATCGAACACAGGAACAGGAAGGACTTATTGTGGTGGTTTGGCAACACCGGGCGTTCCAATGTTTTGCCAGAAGCAGAAGCTGACCAACGAGAAGGGCGCATTGCTCCTGTTGTGAGAGCGCTTGCTCGTATGTCGTATGGCTTGGGCGTGCATGTTCATTGTGCACAAGCGCTGTGTATCAATGTATGTGAATGTGTTTGTGGTGCTTGGCTTGGAGAAGATTATGTCCCGTGTATGTCCAGCAGTCTTTGTCTGTAACGCTAACGATGAGTCTATGAGTCCATATGATGGAGTTATTTTTGTTGAAGTTGCGCGCAACCTAGGTAGGTACCTAGCCACTGTCACTAGCAACTAGTATAGCCCTGGACCAGTGACTAGAGTATCTAGTGACTAGAGGCTAGTGACTAGACGGATGGATGGATGGATGGAAGGATGGATGGATGCATGAACGGATGGATGGATGGATGGATGGCTGGGTGGATGGATGGATGGATGGATAGATAGGTCGAGTATGAGTAAACCTGATGGGAAAATTGCGCTTTTCACAAGAGACAGTACACAGTACCTCGCAAAAGCGTTACGTAACTAGGTCACTGTGGGTAGATTCAGGTGGATTGCGAAGCTAGAAAATATAACAATGGTAACAATGGCAGAAAGAAAGATCAAAAGAAGCGTCAAGTACACTCACTGGCACACTGTGCACTGCGGGCGGGACTTGTACCTGGACTCAGACTAAGTCGCACCCTGGAGAAAACAAATAGAGGTTTTCAGGTCTCTTGAAAAGACCGCGAAACAAAAGCACCTGAGCAATATTTTAATAAGGCGCAGCCCAGGATAATGCGAGTCAATATTTTTGTCGATGTTTGCAACCTGTGCGCCACAGAAGAAGACACGTAAACTTTAAACTTTAAACGCTGAACTGAACTCTCAAGGGTTTCAATCCAAGCGTGTTTTTGCCCTGGCCACAAAAGCCACTTGAGTTGCGCTAGTCTCTTGCGTTGGTAAGCTTGAGAAGCATGCTCTGGGAGGATGCTTCTGGCACAAGAGCTGGGGGCGACGAGATCATCATTCCGAAGGATGCAGCTTGCTTTCCTTGCAAGAGGAAGGTCTCGAAGGACATCTCAAAATACGAAGTCTGCGCAAACACGAAAACAACCTTTTTCTATATTCAATTTTTATATTCTATATGACTATATGATAAAACCTTTCGGAAACAAGAACCTGAGACCAGCAACCATGTCCAGAGACGTTCTCACCTCAACAAGAAAGGCTTTCAAGAGCAAGTAGGCTCAGTAGACTGTAGACTGTAGACAATGTAGACTAAGATCAAAACAACGGCAAATGAAAACTGCCCAACCTCTCTTTCAGTTCATTTTGCTGAATTTGTTATGCTAGCCAGCCCCCACCTCTGAGTCCGAGAGCGTTTAGTTTTCGCCAGCAGGTTCATGATCTACACACCAGGTTCAACAGGTTCTTCTTGTTTCACTTGGCCCGCAGGACCTCAAGTTCGCTCAACCGGACGGATGTGTTCGTTGCGTTGAACTCGCGTACGATGTGTTTCCAGCGATGTCGTGGCAAGCTTTTTGCATTGCTTTCAGTGAGAGCCCCCAAGTGCGTGGATCCTTTGACACCGCTGGCAAGATCAAAGACGGCGCCCTCAAACAGCCGTTCAAAACACGAGCCAGCGTGGATTCAGAGACTTTGGTTGGAATCCTCCTTGAGAAGAAATACATCATCCTCACTGATGACGAATTTGTTCAGAAGTTCAAGAAGCTAATCCAAAAAGAACACATTTGGTGGCAAAGACAAGTGCAAATGTAGCTAGTGTAGCTATTCCAATCCTTTTCGAGCATTCCAAAAGGGAAAGGCAAAAAACCATCCAGGCCACCCTCTCAGCCCGTTGTTTGGTTTTCTTTTGGTTTTCGTTGCTGGGATACTTGGAAACCCGAAAAAACAATAGGGGCAAAAGAGATATAGCGATAGAGAGAGAGGGAGAGAAAGAGAGAGAGAGAGGGTGAGAGAGTTTAATGAGTTCATGTTTAAAATAAAGAGCGACTAGAACCATTGCGTGGGCGGAAATTTGATGCCTCAGTTCAAGGATCCCTCCAAGCGACGACATCCCGAATATGATTCTGGAGAATGAGGACGGCGAGAAGACCAAGTACTTCTTTTTTGAGAGCCCTGACCACCCTCGCACAGCGTCTTTCTTCTCAAGGTGCAGTTTGGCCCACTCCCGTCACCTGATTGAGCCAGCTGGAATGCTCCGCCGTGAGCAGCCACTAGAACGCTTCCAGAAGCTTTGTGGGGATCGCAAGACTTCGATACCCTTTCGCAAGAAGGATGCGAAGTCTTACTCGTTGGAAGACATGGCAGAGCGTGCCAAATCCTTGATCGAGAAGAGACAAGCAATGGAGGAAAGTGGTGCTGTGGGTGCTGAGGCAGCCGATGTGCCAATGGAGTCCGAAACCTTCCAGAAAATCAACACTCTGGAAGATGAGCTTGATACCGTGCCCGCCAAGGCTCCTGCGAAAAGGAAGGCCCAGCGACCTGCTGCGCCGAAGGCACCGAAGGCCCAGAAGAGCAGGGGCCAGAAAGCGCCGCCGCCGCCTGTTCCTGCCAACGTGCCTGAGCATGTTTCTGGCGATGAGGCTGGTGCGGAGGATGACGACCTTGCCAGGAGCATTGTCGCCAAGATCGGTGGTGACGCCAAAGCTGTGCGGAATTTGGATGTTGCCAAGATCTTGAAGGGCTTCAAATTGGGGAGAACTTTGACCGGTGTGCCCCTGCCTCGTTTCCATTTTGTCGCCTTTGTCCAGCTCAGCTAAACTTAACTACATAAATCACGCATACATTCAAACTCAATCATTGAGGCTTGCAAGTGGGAACGCGTGAGGGTAACTGTGCCAACCTCCCACTAACAGAAATGGCTACAGTGCAAGTGTAGGGGCAATGGCCGCTTAGCGCCACTTACAAATTTCCTTTGCTAGCGGCTGCTAGCGGCTAGCGGCTAGCGATTAGCAGCTCGGAAAGTTTGGGCTAGCTAGGTTTTTTGACACAGCATTTACGACTGCCATATTCATCAGGCACCATGAATTGTAATTGTTGTAACTGTGTCCAAGACTAGGCCATCACAGCCAGCGCATCTGAGACCGTGAACAATGTATTCGATGGTTGTAAAGCAACAATATTAATATAAGTAATCAAGCTGCTAAGTAAAACACACACACACACACACAAAGGTTCAGAAACCACCCTATCCTGGTCATGGTCTGCACTGGTGCCAGGCCCGCAAAATCGTGCAGACCCTCGAGGAAAAGCAGTGTAAAGAGGCATTGCTGTTGTCCAAGAGGCTGAAACTATGTGAGCACGCGGTGAACCTGGCTGAGCGCCTGGACATCATGAACGGCCTAGAACTTCATCAGAGCTTGGGTGTGATCCACAACGAGGGTGTGGACCTGCCAATGCCAATGAAGGTGAAGTTGATCCTGCGACAATGCATGGAGTGCTCCGAGAACTGCATGGACAAGTTCTTGGTGATGTGGAGCCCATGGCGCGAGTCAAAGGATGACGATCCTGATGGTGGTGAGTTCAATCCTTTGCAGCCTCGCATCCGCCCTCTCATTGACATCGCAGCTGACAAGGCCTTGAAGTTGCAGATGGCGATGGACGAGGCTAGCGATGGAGAAGAGGGAGATCGATCAGAGCACAAGGCTGCCAAGGAAGACTTGGTCATGGATTGGAAGGCCTGGAGTCCCCTACCCGTACCCAACCTCTAGACTCTAGACTCTAGATTCTGGAACGCTAACTCTCGAATTATGTGGGCTCGATCAAATTCACCCCAGAGTCAATCAAAGGCAAGAGAAGAGTCTAAGGAGTCTATGACTAAGAGATTGAGAGGAGAAACAAGAGATGTGTTAAACGTTTCCGGTTGAAGCAACCCAAACCCAAGGTTTTTTGAACTGAGACCTACCTTACAATTTTGGCGCATACTCCATATTCAATATTCACCAATATTGCCAACGCACTCCCATCCTCTGACCTGACTGTTTTCCAATCCAATTCCGATTTGCGATTTGCGCGTCGGATACACTACTACTGACTGTTTTCTTGTGAGGCTATTGCGCAGTGCATCACAGATGGAGCGATCAGCGACTATTTCCTTCATTTGGTGTCAGCAGCCCCGAAGACAGTGCCTCAGCTGACCGCTTTTTGTGAGGCAATCCTTGCTGACCATGCTCTGGAGGAGAGTCAGGCAGCCCTTCGTGGATTGAATTCCGAGCCCGCAAACGCTGTGGCAGTCATTGTGCGCTGCTTGAAGGGCGTTCTTTCCATTTGCAGCCCCACTCCAAAGTTTCCTGCAAGTGCGGCTGAAGTTGAAGCAATCTCAAGACCCAAGAAGAAGGCCGCTTCCACCGTGAAAGGCTCTTCAACTT